GCTTCCATTAAGCGTCTTGATACACAAGTGGGCCAGCTAGCCACACGGGTTGGGACCATCGAGGCTGAATTGGACAAAGGGAAGCTGCCGAGCCAACCAGAGCACGCAAAGTCATTTACCGTGATTATGCCCGAGGGAGTGAAAGGAGCAAAAGAGAGCCCGGAAGAGCTCTTTCAAATGGAGGAAACCCCAGTGAAACTACTACCCGAGCCTACCCTACACAAATCCCTGAATCCCTAGAAACCTAGAATTCCATTCCCGAGCCGTCTTTTGGAGGAGAAAGACCGTAGAGTGATCCGGGACCTGCATGCAATGTTGGCTAAGGCCAATGCCGACTTATCCCCACCGGATGTGATCAAGAAGATACCAGAGTATGCAAGATTTTTCAAGGAATTGGGGGCGAGTAAACAGAGGCTCGAGGGTGATGATGAGGTACTGGTGATCGAAGCGGCAAGTGTCTTTCAGCATAACTGCCGAAGAAGGAAAAAGACCCCGGAGGCTTTGTGATCTCTTTAGCTTTTGGGAATGGGGACGAGGCCTCAGGCATGCTTGAACTGGGGGCTGGCATTAATCTCATGCCACTCGCGGTTTACCGTAGACTCGGGCTCGGGGAGTTGAAGCCCACCAAGATGCGCCTGCAGCTTGCAGACCGTTCATTCCGTCACCCCGCAGGAATTGTGGAGGACGTGCTAGTCCGAGTGGGGAAACTAATAGTCCCCGTGGACTTTGTCGTGCTTGATGTCGGGAGCATACAAGGCAATAGTACAGAGCACGCCATCCTTCTCGGACGACCCTTCATGGCGACCACGAGCATTGTAATAGATGTGAAGAAGGGGATGGCTAGCATGAAAGTATTGGGCGAGTCCATTACCATTTCTGTTCGAGAGACCCGGCCTGAGCCGCAGGCGAATGTGATGGAAGAGTGTGCATATATTCGGGCGTTCGAGCAGCTGACCGAGGACGCGTGCATTCGAGAGCACGCGAAGAGATCACTTCAGGATCGTATTCATGTCCCAAAGGAGCACCGTACTGACAGCCTGATGTAGCGCAGCGTTAACGAACGGGAAGAAGAGATAAAAATCTCACAATTTCTTACGTTTTATTCATCAAAAGCCCCGTCTGAGCCTTAGAAAACAGATATAAATAGAGTTCTAAACAGTCTACATACCTATCTTGCTAGACAAGTAAATACCCACTAAAATAATTATTTTTCTACCAACTTAATAACATAAATAAAGGAAATAATAATAACTAAAGAAATAAATAATCAAGCTACTAAATAATTAAATTAAAACTGGGATTGGATCGTATTTTTCCAGAAAAGCAAGTGCGATCTCGTCTCCATCATCATTCCCCGGTTGAGAAGGATTCGCCCTCGAATCCGTATCGGTCTCGTCTCCGGTTGAGGTGTCGCCCAAGAAGGGCACCAAGTGCGTGACGTTGAAAACGTCAGAAATACAGATGTGCGAAGGTAGATGGACACGGTAGAAATCGAGATTTATCCTTTCGATGATCTCTACCGAGCCAAATTTACGAACCGAAAACTTGTTATACGCGTTAGTCGAAAAATTATCCGTCAGCAAGACCACCCATACAAAATCACCGACTTCAAAGACGGTACCACTGACACGTGTACCCAAAATGGATTGCTCGTGTTCCAAATTAATTCGCCCCTGCTCCATTCCCAACAACAAATTGTGGTGTTCAGGTGGATTAAAAAAAAATGGCAAGCATGCAGCACCATCCT